AGAAAAAGAAGAGGGCTGGGGAATTGGCTGGATCAGTAAAGTACTTGCCGTTCAAGCTAGGGGACTTGTGTTCAAACCCCCAGCACCTATGTAAAAAGTCAGGAGCAGAGGCCGGGGCCTGTAACTCCAGCACTGGGGTGCAGAGGCAGGGGCCTGGAACCCCAGTGAGGAGGCAGAAACAGGAGGATCCCTGGGATTCATGGTCAGCTAGTCTAGCTGACTCAAAGAGTTCCAGGTTCTAAAAGAGCCTTTCTCAAAGAGAGCAATTAAGGAAGGTACCCAACATCAACCTCTGTGAACATGAACACCTGTGCATGCTTACCTGAATGCACATGTGCACCCAGGAACACACACACACACACACACACACACACACACACACACACACACGCACACAGAGGTACACAGGCATGCAGGTAGGCACTCGTGCAAAAAGAAAGATATCACTGTTCTATAACATCTAACTCTGGCAGTTAAAATTAAGCTGCTTTTTTTGACTTATTAGACTTGCTAAAAAAGAATACTGAGATTCTCTTCTGGCTCTAAGATTATTTCAAACAGTCATTATTTCAAGTAAGATGATTCATCTAGCATGCTATTACCAATGACTTTTTTTAAAAATTTTCATCAGCATATACAAGGTTTATCCTTTTATAAAAAGATCTTAGCTGGGCGTGGTGGCGCTCGCTTTAATCCAAGCACTCAGGAGGCAGAGGCAGGCAGATCTCTGTGCATTAAAGGCCAGCCTGGTCTACATAGTGAGTTCCACAGGGAGACCCTGTCTCAAAAAGACCAGGAAAAAAAAAAAAAAAAAGATCTTGTGTAAAAAGGTAATGTATAAGGCCTGCAACATGAATGCATTCAAATACAAATGTTTAGATTGAAGTTAACACTTGTATAATTCTCCAAGGATTTATTAATTAGGTTAAATTGAAATGCAACAAGTCTGTACTGAGTACTCTTTTTAAAAAAAATTAAAGGTGTGAACTGCTAACCACTACAACAGTTAATGCTGTAGGCATTTCCAGAAATTGAGTACAAGCCAACAATGGTTTAAAAGGGAAAAAACCTGAAACATTTTATGAGGAAAAAAACGGGAATTTGGCACATACCACAAATACTTTGTAGCGACTCTCACCTATTTAAATTCTTTTTGGGAATAGGAACATAAAGAATATTCCACATAATCTGGCATAGTCATCATTCAGTATGGTACAGTGGGAAAAAAAATCAAGAATTCCACAATGTTGAGAAATTTCAGACTTTAGTCTACAATTAAGGGATCTCAGCCTTTTAAAATGATGGACCCCAGGCTGGAGAGATGGCTCAGTGGTTAAGACTACATACTGTTCTTACAGAGGACCCAATTTTAGTTCCTAACACCCACACAGCAACTCACAACTGCCTGAAACTCAAGTTCCGAGGGATACAATGCCCTCTTCTGGCCTCTGTTGGCACTGCACTCAAATCCACACTGAGACACACACAAATACACATAATTTACAAAATAAAATTAAAGTCTTTAAATGATGGGCCCCCTTCTACATGTTTGTAAGAACATGTAGAAAATAACGGAATCCTGCCTCAGAAAAATGCATCTATAAAATGAAGTACACAGCTTCTGAGCCAAGCACAGACTCCTGAATTAACTGCCCAATGCTCACTCAGGCAGACACTACTTCTGCATCTGTTTCTGAGAATACAGTAAAGCAAGGGAGTTTGAAAGGAAGCTCCACTGCAGGCCAGGCTGAGGATGAGGCGAGAAGTACTACAGACAAAGCCTTCCATATAGGACGCTCTTTCAGGGCTTTTCAAAAATTTCCTCAAGTTTTTAATAAGTTGTGGACTTCGGATGGATGATTAAAAAGGAAGAGGTGCTCTAAATAATTTGGGACCATTTGCTCTTAAGATAATCACATACAAAGAGCTTTGCTAAATGCTATCATTTAAATAGTTAATTGCATTTCCTCCAAGATGAAAGGAGCTGTAAGTATACATCACTAACATTACCGGTTCTGGCATCTCCTTCAAAGACCAAAATGACAGACCTCTCATTAGAGATGCACATACAAGGAACTAGTTTAAGGAAATTTCCTATTTTGTCAAGGTGTGAAATGGCAGGTTTTTTCAGAAGTAGCTTCAAAAACAATGTTTTAATTAAATTCCCTATAAGTTGAAGCAGAACACTCTGGGCCACAGGGAAGAGGCTCACATCGATATTCCTTTGGTAATGTATGTGTTCCCTGATTTAAAAAAAACAAAACAAAACTGACTCGTGTCTTCAGAATTCTATTCTCCTGATGATTTTTACTTTTTAAATTAAAGTTTATTTAGCAGGACCCCGTGGAAGTGCCTATTGCACCCAGGAACAGGGAAGGTGAGGCAGGAAGAGGCTCCGAGACTCAGAATCCAGTGGACAACATAAAACAGTTTCAACAACGACAAGAGAAAGTACACAAGTACCAAGCTGATTTCTGGACTGCAGAGTGCAATTTCTAAACCAAAACTGTCATGAACTACATATAGACATATACAGGAATTTGGGGATGACGTCTCGTTTATTCAGGCGTTAAGTATCCATTTGCAAAATTAACAGGCAAATCGCCGATCTCTTCTTCCTTCAACTATCTAATTGATCAATTGGCAAGGCCTTGGAAGAGAATAGAGTGAACAAAACCAGACTCAATCAAATTAAGTCGTATCATAAAGAACTTAACACCGAAAGATACAGGGGGAGGGAAGGTAGACTATTACTTTAAATTATTTTTTACATAGTCACTAGCCCTGCCTCCCAGTACCTACCAGCTTGTATAACAAGAATTTGATGCAATTAGAAACTAAAAGAGGACCAATGGGACTATTGAACGAGCAAGAAAACGGGTTCGAAATGAACTCGTACTTCGTTTAAAATAAAATAACAATTCCTTGCAAAATAACTTGATAGGAAAACAAGGGGAAATCGTGGCCATCGTTTCTTATTAGCAACATACCCTTAAGCCGTTGCAGAAGCAATGCTTCGCTCAACTGAACCCATATTGCAAAGGCCCCGACTCCGCGGCTCTTTCCGCGGTCTGATCGCCGGGAGGAGCACATACCCCAAGCTGCAGTCCGCCCTTCCCTGGCCTTGCGCGCGCCGAGGCGGCCGGGCCGGAGCCCCAGAGGAGGAGAGGGGGAGGAGGAACGGGAAGAGGCGGACGACCGGGAGGAGGACGAGGACCGGGAGGATTACCGAGAGGAGGGAGGACTGCCAGGCGGACGAGCACCAGGAGGCTCAGTACCGGGACGAGCAGCAGCAGGACCAGCACCAGTACCCCGCAGCCCCGCCGCCGCGTACCTGCTCCGCCGGCGCTCGCTCCATGGCGCCGGCTCCAGCCGCTGGCTCTAGTCGGTGTGCCGAGCGCCCCGGGCCGCTTTCTCCATGGCCCCCCGCTCGGCCGGCTCCGCTCCGCCCCGGGCTCCGCTCCGCACCGCACAGCCGCGACGCCGACCTGCTACGCCACTGGCCGAGGAGGCGGCTCCAGCTCGGGGAGGTGGAGGAGGTGGCGGCCACTCCGGGGAGGGATCATCTGGGACGGAAGCCGAGCGGGGCCGAAAGGACCAAAGCGAAGTAGGAAATGAAGGCGCGAAGGAGGGAGCCAGCGAGGGAGCTGGCGTCTGGGCGACGGGGGTGGCGGGGACCTCGGAGACACGCCCGGGTTGGATGCCTGGGAGCCACACTCCTCCCCAGACTGTGGAACTGGAGGCTGGGCCGCCTCGGACCCAGGGTGTATTATATACCGGGTTTCTAGTCTCCTGGGACCTCAGAGACCTCTTCAGGATCCCAAACCCGACTCTAGAGAGCTGCTCAGTAGGTGTCTGGTCCTGCCTTGACAACAGAAGAATGCACAAATAAAATGCCTACACATAGTAGCCATGGGAAGGAAGCCCTGTTTAAAAGCTCCTCAAATGATTAATTAATGTACTATCCAGGTCCAGGCTCACGTCTAGGCTCAATTCCGTGCTGATTTTGCTCATCTCAAACCCTAATTGCACCCAGATCCATATAACTACCGAAGTTATATAATATACAGGGCTGCTATGCGGGTTGGTTGTTCCTATTAATCTTTAGCTCACCAGCTCCTTGAAGGCAGAGTCAGACTTGAAACTGGACACTACTGTTAGCAAGGCAGATTTCCTCTGGGGAGTTAGACACAGCCTCCCGCGCACACAACCTCTCAGAAAGTTCTGCCTTAATGAACTGTTCGAGCTAAATTATAATTGAGTGAAGGAAGAGGATAGAAATGGCTGCTGTTTGGGACACTGCTTGAGGAGATCAATGGCTGGGGAAAGGAAAGAAAATTCTAAGGAATGTGCTTTGTCCCACTTCAGATGTTGAAGTCTAGAGTTGCCTTTTCAGTGAGTCAAGGTTATTTGTGTGGTTTTATTTGAAGGCCCCAAGAAGAGGCTGGTCTCTGGAGCCCCTAACTATACTTGCGCACTTGTGTAGATACTGTATCGTGCCAGCTGAAAGGAGCTTTATTGTGTCAACAACCATTATCAAGCCTGGTACCAGAAACAGTTTGAAGGAGAAATATTTATACTTGTACAGAGAGCACTCATTTATTTGGTTTTATTCTTCTGCCATATATACACTTGTATTTCCATTGCACACACAATTGAAAGGTACAGGAGGAGGGCGGTAGACTATTTAAATTATTTTTTACAGTCACTAGCCCCGCCTCCATTGTAAATGTTACAAACATGTGCAATTAATGTAATGTTAGATCCTTTAGAGTCCATTATACACCCCTAGTCAGAATTCAATAAATGCTGAAGGAATTTAGGCTTGCTCCAAAAAGCAAAGTTATTTATACAGTATGGTTATATAAACTAGCAGATGCTCATCTTCCTTCCCAAGCGAAAGACAGACCAATTCTGAATTTTCAGGCTGTGTCCCCTCTCACAGTCCCAGCTGTGAGATGCCTCCATCTTAGTAAAAAGCCATAAATGTACTATAGTACTTTGAGATTTTCCCCTTCTTCTGAGGGTCAGTATGAGGAAATTTAAATATAGAATCTCTTAAGTATCTGTCCACATTATAGGAGCTTTGAAAGTGAAATTGTACATGTTGAGAATCTTATGTGTACAAAATTTGTGTGAATTATAATTACAGAAACAAGGGGTTGGAGCAATGGATCAATGGTTAAGAGCACTGGCTGCTCTTACAGAGGACCCAGATTCAATTCTCAGCACCACAGGGTAGCTAACAACCATCCATAACTCCAGATCCGGGGATCTGATGCCCTCTTCTGACCACCATAGGCATTGAATGACATAAGTGCACTTACATACATGCAGGCAATACACTCATGCACATAAATTTAAAATAAAGAAAGAAAAAAAGAATTTTGGAAACAAAAAGTGTCACAGTGCCATATTTATATAATGTAATCCTAAAAAGATGGCTATAGCTATTAGGAAAATATTAAATTTATGTAGAAAACAAATTTTAAAATATTTTTACAGGTAAATATAAGTGAATCATTTAGCAACAAATGTTAATGTATTTAATGTGCCAAGTATAATGATAAGTACTGCAGGTACAACAGTTAATGAGACATGGTGAGGGCAAGGGCCATATTTGTCTTGTGGACAACACACACACACACACACACACACACACACACACGAGTATGTAATTCCAAATGATAGATGTCATGACGAAGAAAGTTCTATAGTTATGGGGATGGCAACCAGAAGAGGTGGATCTGAAGAAACATCTAAATGAAGATCTGGAGTAAGAATTATGATGGAGAAGGAAAGAGCTGCTAATCCAGCTGCTTGGGAGGATGAGGCAGAAAGATTATAAGTCCAAAGGTTGTCTGGGCTAGAGAGTGAGTCAAAGGCTAGCCTACAAACTTACATTGTATCTCAAAGTAAGGGATGAAAAAAGGAGGGGTGGGTGCTGGGGATACAGCTTAGTGATAGGGTGTTTGCCCAGCATGCTGAGGGGGGGAAGGAGGGGATGGGAGGGGAGAGGATAGGAGGGGAGGGGAGGGGGAGAACATATGTTAGGATGCAGTAGAACAAGTCCTCTGGGAAGTCTGGAGGGCAGGGAATGAAAAAACACAGGAAGAAATTAGCCACAAATGGAAGTGAGGACATGTCCAGTGTAACAGAAGGAAAAACAGAAATGTAGACATGGCTAGAGTTACGTTAACTCTAAGTTCAGTGCTGAGAGTTGAAGGAATTGGGTTGAATGGCTTTTGTTTGCCCAGTGAAATAGATTTTTTTTATTTTTGTCTCTTTGAAACAGGGTCTCCCTGTAGCCCCAGCTGGCCTGGGGCTACTCGCTATGTAGACCAGGCTGACCTCGAGCTCACAGAGATACACCTGCCTCTGCCTCCCGAATGCTGGGAATAAAGGCATGCACCACCATGCTCGGCTTGCTCAGTGAAATAGAATGCAAGGTTACCTGCTGATGGTGAGGGGAGGCATAGTTATGGTTATCATGCACTTGTTAGTTCTCAGAAAACAAGGCAGGTGTGGTGGCACACGCCTGTAATCCTAACATTCAAGAGAAAGAGGTAGGAGGATCTGGAGGTCCAGGCCAGCCTCAACTGCATATTGAGTTTGAGGCCAACCTGGGCTACATAAGACCCAGCCTCAAAACAAAACAAACAAAAACTTAGAAAACATATTTTAGACCACTTGTACATGTCATCAGATACCAATTTTATATAAAAAGAAATGCAGCTGTAACCAAATCTAGTTTCAACAAATGCACACACATACGCATCCCACTCTCTATTAAGGTATAAAATGTTACCATTATGTCTAATGATCTTCAAAACTTCTCTTATTCAAAGTTTTTGCCTTCTACACTGCACTATCTTTGCCTATAACAATGACTAGCATATTACAGATGCTCAATAACTATTTAGAGAATAAACTATCATGAACTGTATATTAAATCAGAGTTTTTTCATGTGGGGTAGGTTTATTAAACACGTACATTTTATTACCTCAGCAGGATTCAATAGGGTGCCAACAGAAAATGGCTCTTGGCCAGGTGTGGTGGTACATGCCTTTAATCCTAACACTGGAGAGGCAGAAGCAGGCAGATCTCTGTGAGTTCAAGGTCAGCCTGGTCTACATAGTGAGTTCCAGGCCAGCTGGGGGTACAGGGAGAACCTGTCTCAAAGAGAGCAAAGAAAAAAAATGGCTCCTTACTGCACTGCCTCTTCAAACTCTCTGAAGATGGGTTCTTTTTCTGTCCTGGATGAAATCTATTGAAGGTCAAACTTCAAATCAAAATCCCCTCAGTACTGCTTTAGGTTCGAAGACTGCAGTGGGAGATAGAGTGTGTCCACTTCTATTTTGTTTCTGCCTTTTCTATCTCTCCCTCCTCCACCTTAACCACTCCTTTCTTAAGCTTTTAAAGCCCTCCAGGTTGCCGATGCCAGGGGAAGATGGTAGAGCTTCTCAGATGTTCAATTACTATGACATGCATGACGTCACTTTGGGATGGCCAGCTGTGACCCTAGCCTTCAGCCCTTGGGGACTCAGCCAGGAAGCTTTTCTAGTTGGACTCTCTTTTTCAATGGCTTCAGGCAGAATTCCCTGCCACCAGTTTCTGGGTCATTTCTGCCATACCTTTTTATTCCATAGCTGTCAACTCAACTTTCCCTTTGACTAGCCATTCAACAGTCTTATTTTTGGTGGCTATCAAAGCAAATTGCAGACTTCCTTGTGTGGAAAATACATGTATGTACAGTTAGTAAAACTGCAGCTTATCTCCAGCATTCCCATTACCCACAAAGTCTTTTCTTCTCTTTCCTCTGAGCTTGTTTTTCACAGTAGGCCTCCCGTCTCCACCCCATGTCTTCCTAGACTCCAAGAGACATAGGTTTCTCTGGAAGCTCCTCCCCTATGACTTGAAGGTAAGAGAAGCATCTCTTCTTTCCTGGGGTAGGGTCAGGAGGTAGGTAAGTAGCAGGTGTCTCCAAAGTACTATTGCATGAGTCATGACGTCCCCCTCACCACAACCACCACAGCCTGGAGGCTAGTGATGACTAATGGCAGTGCTATCACTGCAACAATGACAGGGATTTCTGGGCTTATCCTGCTCAGAAACTAACACTATTACCTCAGGCTTGTCCATTAAGGACTGTTCTTATTGAATACCATATTGCATTTTCATTTACTTAACAAATATTTTGAGTACCAGTCATGTAGTAGGCACTGGTCAAGGTAGTGAGCACAGGACAGTAAATGAGACAAAGTTCTTGCTGCTGTGGAATTTACAAATTAGTCTTGGAGACAATGAACTTTTTTTTAAGGATAACTTCAGGTGAAGGTGAATACTATGAAGGGAATGAAACATGCTAAAGTGATAACTGCAGATATAGAGACAGGCCAAGTCCTTCAGATGGGTTGACCTCCGAGGAGGTGCTACTTGACCTGAGATGTGAATGACACAAAAAAA